ATTGTCCAAAATGGTCTTATAGTTGTCCAGAATGGTCCTAGAGTTGTCCAGAATGACCCTAGATTGTCCGGAATGGTCCTAGAGTTGTCCAGAATGACCCGAGATTGTCCGGAATGGTCCTAGAGTTGTCCAGAATGACCCTAGATTGTCCAGAATGGTTCTAGAGTTGTCCAGAATGGTCCTAGAGTTGTCCAGAATGACCCTAGATTGTCAAGAATGGTCCTAGAGTTGTCCAGAATGGTTCTAGAGTTGTCCAGAATGACCCTAGATTGTCAAGAATGACCCTAGATTGTCAAGAATGGTTCTAGAGTTGTCCAGAATGGTCCTAGAGTTGTCCAGAATGGTTCTAGAGTTGTCCAGAATGACCCTAGATTGTCCATAATGGTCCTAGAGTTGTCCAGAATGACCCTAGAGTTGTCCAGAATGACCCTAGAGTTGTCCAGAATGACCCTAGATTGTCCAGAATGGTTTTAGAGTTGTCCAGAATGGTTCTAGAGTTGTCCAGAATGACCCTAGATTGTCCAGAATGGTCCTAGAGTTGTCCAGAATGACCCTAGATTGTCAAGACTGGTCCTAGAGTTGTCCAGAATGACCCTAGATTGTCAAGAATGACCCTAGATTGTCAAGAATGGTCCTAGAGTTGTCCAGAATGACCCTAGATTGTCCAGAATGGTCCTAGATTTGTCCAGAATGACCCTAGATTGTCAAGAATGACCCTAGATTGTCAAGAATGGTCCTATAGTTGTCCAGAATGGTCCTAGAGTTGTCCAGAATGGTTCTAGAGTTGTCCAGAATGACCCTAGATTGTCCATAATGGTCCTAGAGTTGTCCAGAATGGTCCTAGATTGTCCAGAATGGTTCTAGAGTTGTCCAGAATGACCCTAGATTGTCCTAGTACTGATTAGGGAAATGCGCTAATCAAAATTAAATCATTTTGAATATGTAAAATTACATTAAAACTCATTGTGTCACTAGAAAATATTTGTGTAAGTACATGTACCAGTTAATTTGGCCAAACATCAAAACAGTGAAATGAAATTCCAGTGAAAATAAATGCTATGTCCTGAATGGGTCCAGTAGATGTGAAAAATTCTGAATTGCTTCCCTTGTTTCATGTCTAAGACACTTTGCTGAGACTGCTTTGCTGTCTTTGATGATGCAATAAACACAAATACCTGTACATTTCTTGCAGGAAGTACACAATCACCTGTCTATCCATACTAGCGATTGTTAGAAAACTAAATCTGAATACTGAAGAATTCCGTTGAGCTCAGTTCCAGACTTACTGACTGATGAGTGTATGTTAATAAATATGGCGTTTATTTGTAACAATCACATTAAAGTAATGGGAGACATGTTTCTTGCTATTAAGGAAACAGTATAATTCATGCTATTAGTGTTCAGGAGTGTCGTCTTGCAATTATCAGGAATGTTTACTTCCCAGAATGCTCTTTGTTGCTCTCCATTTCAATCTGGGTAACTTTTATCTATTAAATTTGCTTAATTTTCTTTTTAAAACAAATTAATTTTTTTTATATTATTTGCATTTGACTTTGGTTCAAAGTAAAAAAGAAATTGTTCATAAGTTAATAAATAAAGCATTTCCAATCTGTGTATAATAGTTTTAAACAATATTTGAGAATAATTAGGTTTATGACTGAAATATTCTAAAATAAAATTATAAATAAAAAACTTAATTTGACATATAATTTTTTTAATTTCATTGTTTTTATGGTGAATCTTGTTTTGTATCAAGAAGCATCAACAGATCACATGACATTGTAATTATTTACACATGCAGTTTTCTTTTTAAAAATATATTGCATTATCATCGTAAATTGATATTTTTTTTAAGTATGGACATTTTTTTATTGTAATTTTTATCAGGGAGGGGACACACAGAGAAATTTTAGTCCATGTACAAATTTGATTTTTAATATACAATTTGTGAAGTGTGAGGCTCTTTCAGAATGTATTCATGGTGTGTTTTGATCAAAAGTTATAATAAGTCAAAAGTCATGCAGATTATATCACATTATTATGGTGAAATGAATGTCACTTTTATAGTTTATGTATACCTTGATGTATGAAGATAACAATTTGGTAATTTCAAGACATTGTTCACATATCATTCATTCAAATATTTCAATAATTTTTACCGTCAAAATATGTACTATTATTTATATCATATGCATTTTTTAATAGATAAGTGACATTCAAGGTAAAACTGCTCTGTTAAACACATAAATTTGACAATCACAACAATAAATGTTTACATTACTGTTCATTTTTGGGTTTTGCTTGGGTTCTAAAGAGAAATGCTTTATTTTGACTGTATTCTGCAATGTTTAAGTGGATGCAGTATATTAATGGGCAGTGGTCATCATGCAGCATGTCTTCCAATTATGTGTTACCAACCAATATACTTTACACAATCTGTGAATCCCATATCGAACAAGATACACAATCACTACCACTGTCCTTTAAGAAGAAAATATTCAGGCAAGTTTTTTGTACAAATATTTATTTTTGTAATAAATGTTAATTTGTAAATTAAACATGATATAACAATTAAAATTGTTGCTCTCATTCTCATTCACACATTGTTGTTTTAAATCAGTTACCCAGAATAAATTGAGAACATTTTTGCATAACAGTTTAAGTCAAATTAAAATGTTGCACTACTGAGAATGTTACTGCATATATATGCAATGCATTGTGGGTGAAAACTTCTCATTGTTATGATGGAAAACTATTATACTGGAAACTATTTCAATTATATGTGAATTTTTTGAATTATTTTAACAATATTTGTATCAATGTATGATTACATTTGCATCCCATATCACCAAGCAAAATTTTGAGATCTCCGTAGAAACCTAATTTTTCATACATTTCAGATTGTCCCATTGTCTAGTGACATAATTTTTATTTCAGTATCCTAAACTTGTTCAGTGACTCCAATTGTTATTTCATTTTTGCATTAACCCATATTATTATACATCTGCCACCACAGCGCAATAAGTTACAGCGTGCCGTAATTTTGTGGTATTTTATGGGGTATTTTCATTCTACCTTATAAGGAAATGTGAATTCCAAATATGGAACAATTACGCGCATAAGCGTTCTCTGATAATAAAAACAAACATGGCTGTTATCGGGGTTTGACCAGACTTCACACAAAGAAGTTCACTGAATCTGTTCTAAATTTTTGGGATTTCGGCGTTCTCATGATGTATCCGTGGAAGGAAAAGATGTATAATAAAAGGGTTATTACGAGGATACCTCATAGTAAGCACTCGGACAGTACACTGCGCATCGACTTCTGCTGTACGTCGGTCGATACTCCATCTATACTGTCTTTGAGGTATTTTCGTAACAACCTTATATTAATAACAAAAAGAACATCTTCAGTGCGACACAAACACATTGAACCATGAATAGATCCCTAATTTTACAAAAATAAAAATCCAGATCATGATAGAAAAGTAAAAATTCCCCCAAAAAATACTGATTGAAAGTTTGTTACACGTCAAGGAAGGAAGTAATCTGCAAAGTAAACTTTTGTCACTTTCACGTGATAAATTTGCAAAATCTGTTTCTATAATTGTTTTATCAAGACTTGTACCATATTACTAGTATGTTGAAATGGTTGTGAATTTCTAAAATGATTTTACAGAAAATGTGCAAACTTCTGGCTGTGATGTGATTACCGAGTGTTTGTTGGTATGCGGTTGTGACGGCTAGCAATTCTTGATTACTGAGGGGTGTTTGTTGGTATCCAGATATGACAGCTAGCAATTGTGGATTACTGAGGGGTGATTGTTGGTATCCGGTTGTGACAGCTAGCAATTGTGGATTACTGAGGGGTGATTGTTAGTATCTGGATATAACAGTTAGCAATCCTGGATTATTAAGGGGCGTTTGTTGGTATCCGACCTGACAGTTAGCAATCCTCGATTATTAAGGGGTGTTTAACCATGACATTGCTGGTGCTGTATTTCGCTGATAATGACATGTACATCTGTTCTGCTTTGTAAACAACATCAATGAGAGATGTAACATTCACCTATAAAGACAAATCAAGAAAATACTTAAAGAATACATTGAAGGATTCTCAGGTTTAAGGTTGAAGGAGGGAGGATGTATCCGTTTAGCAACATGTACCGGTATATATAATTTTTGATATTTTTGGTATTATGTTGAAAACTGCTTTACGGATGATGGTAAAACTGCTTTACGGATGATGGTCATTTGATTTAAGACTACTTCTCAACTCTGATGCACCCTCTCCACTACATAGACTTCGGGTAGAATGACCATTTACATTACGTACACACTAATGGATATACTTATGTATAAGCGACCTCTCTGTGAGGTCATTGTAATCTTTTGTTTTTGTAGAATTATTCAGTAACCATGCAGCAAAAGAGAGGAGGTTGACTGTTAAAAAGATGGAAACAAAAGTCTTACAGGGAAAATAAACTATAAAAGAAGCCGACGATTATTGGCTTTCTCCTGTGAAAATGTTCTTTCCCAGCAAATAATTCTGTGCAAATGATACCACTTATTGTTTTTTTTTTCTCACCTCAAAGATCTCAATTTATTGCATTTGAAAACAAATGTTTATGCAACATTCGATCATAGAGAAAACAGATTAATGTTTTTATTGATAATTCCGTGACCAATCGCGGCCATCGCATAATCGACAATAATCGATATCACATAACACAGCCTTTATCCCTTTGAGTGTTCTTGGTTCTTACCATTGCAAACATGGTTACACTACTTTATCTTTTTACTGATAGCGAATGGGGTTTACACTGTTTTCGTTGCAAGGGCGCGTTTAGCGAGCCGATTTAAAGTGTGACAAATAACGAAATGTTAACCACGATTATTCAATACCACGTGACACCCTTCACCCCTTTGACCGTCATGACGTTCAACATTCATACGGCAATACGCGTATATTTACACTTTTAACATTCTGGTTTTTGAAACACTTATAGACTGTGCAAAATGCGAAATTTGAAAGTGAAATTCAGCGAGATGCGAATGCATTCGATAAGGGGTGGACTATGCGCAACCGGGTGAGGCTATGGAATGTGATGGAATTTTGTATTTTTTGGTTTTAAAGTGTCTATATACATGTATACTATTATAAGTCCATTCTTGCTAGATTCGTTTTCATGAATTTGGGTTTGAAATCTGTTTTCTTGTAATACTCCGTCTATCATCGTTTACCCCTATCAGGGTCACAAAATTGTACAATCGGCAATCAGTCAAGCGGGCGTGAGGCGTTGAAAATATATGTTCTTGTGATGATTAATTAAATCATGGTATGTTTAGTTTTTAGGTATATTCAAATTGTCCTGCTGTTACGTGGTAAGGAAAACACTCACAATTGGACAAATCACAGAATTAGACTGGAGCTGCAACCAATCAAGCGATTGACGCCCAGTTTCAAGAAACTGTGCCCAAATTGTAACTCTTTACAGTTCGTTTTTGTTGAACGGTCACATTTAGTAACTCCAACATTATTTAATAGTTAACCGAACTTCGAGTTACATATTTTTTGTTTGTTTAACGTTGAAAT